TTGTCGCCGTCACACTGGTCCGTCGCCGTCACCGTCGTTCCGTCCGGTAGGGCATGGCACTCCGCCGGGTAAGCCTGCTTGGGCGGCAGGCCCACAAACTGAGGTGCCACGTTGTCCGTCGTCGTAAACACGGCCACCGACATGTCATGGCCTCCCTCCGTAAACGTCACCGACACGTTGTACATGTGCGCCGCACAGCTGGCCGACGCTCCCTGCCAACCCACGTACGCCGACGAAATGGTCGGCGCACCGCAGTCGTCGTGGTCGTCCGGCTCGGCCCCAAACTCCTGCGCCGCCCACACACGCTGCTCCACCGTAAACGTGTCGCACGTCGACGTGCTGTCCTGCGGTGGCGTCTCAAACGTGCAGCGCACGCACGCCTGGCCCGCTTCCAGACACTTGAACCCCGGCACCACCGTGCAGTTGTCAAAGCACCCGTCGATCCCGCCCAGCACACCGTCGTCGCACTCCTCGCCGGCCACGTGCAGACCATCACCGCAGATGGGCACGCACGACGGTGGCCCTTGGTTCCACGACCCGTCATTCTGGCACTGTCGCAAGCCGCTGTCCTCATTGGCCAGCTCAAAGCCCGTGTCACACGTGTACGTCGCCACGCTCGGATACCGATTGTCCAGCGACGTCCGCACTTGCCCGTGCGCAATGGTCGGCGCCACATCGCACATGCGTCCAATGCAAGCCGTGGCTCCCGTGCCCAGCGTAACGTAGCCCGTCGGGCATGGCGTGCACGCCTCGTCCTGCGAGCTGCTCTTGTACGTGTTGATGGCACACTCGGTGCACGCACCCGTACCCGAGTTGTAGCCGTACCCCGCTCGGCACAGGCAGTCCGACTGCGCCTGCTGTCCGTTGGTGCTCGAAAACGCCGGGCATGGCTGGCACGTGTTGCCTGCACTCTGGCCAACCTTGTATGTGTCGACGCCGCAAGCCCGGCACGTGGGCTCGGGGTTGGTCCAGCTCTGGTCGGTCTTGCACACCGTCGAAGCTGATCCCACCAGCTCGTAGCCCGCCCCACATTGGAACGTCACCGTGGCCGGGTACCGCGATACCGTGGCACTGATCGAACCGTAGGTCGGTGCCACCAACGCGTCACACAGCTTGCCCTGGCATTCCACCTCCGATCCCGTCCATGACGTGTCCGGGTTGCAAGTGCGCGTCGTCGTTCCGCTCTGACGCTCGTAACCCGCATCGCACGTGTACGTGGCCGTTGAGGGATACTTGTTGTTGTTCGTGGTCGATACGACGCCGTTGGTCGGTGCCGATAGTGCTCGGCACGTCTTGGCCACACACGTCGGTGGGTTGGCATTCCAGCTCAACGTCGTGCCCGATGCCACACACGTGGCCGAGCTTGACCCAGACAGCGTGTAGCCGGCGTTGCATGTGTACGTCAACACGTCGCCCACAATCGGGTTGCTCACCACCGTGGCCACACCAAAGCTGTACGTGGGAACGGCCGGGCACGGCAGCGGCTGGCACGTCGGCGCAGAGCCCGAGAAGGTGCGAGTGGCTTGGCAAGTGCGTGTCGCACTGCCCACCAGTTGGTAGCCGTCGTTGCACGAGTAGGTAATCGTGTCGCCGTAGTACGTGTTTCCACTGACCCGACCGTTGGCCGGTGCCGTCGCCGAGCCACAGCTCACGCGCGTGCACGTCATGGCCGAGCCATCCCACGATACGCCCGAGGACGACGCCACGCAGGCGCGGCTCACATCGCCCGAGGCCCGTTCGTAGCCCGGGTTGCAGCTAGTGCGGATGGCATCGCGTTGCGTGTGAGGTGGGAACAATAAGTGATAGATGTGTCGCAAGGAAAGAAAAGAAAAGACAAAAGAAAAAACATGGACGGGGCACGCACACACCTGTACTCGGCAGTGACGGGGTAACGACGTGTCGAGTCCGAGTAGGAGATGGCACCATTGGAGACCGAGCCCAAGGAGGGGCAGGTCAGGCCAACACAGGTTCCAATCGAGGCGCCGCCACAGCCCGAGCTCGTGTAGCCATTGGGGCAGGCCGGGCAAGTGTAGCATGATGTCGTGAATGCCTGCCATGCATTCCAAGTGCCCATGCCACCATGCTCGTCATGAGGCCCACAGCATGTAACTCGTACAAAAGCATTTGCAACATGACACGGGCAACACTTACGTTGTCTGGTTGGTATTTGCCAGCAGGACAGCTCACACACGAACCAGCATTGGTCGTGCCACAGCCGCTTCGGTAGTATCCAGCCGAGCACGCCCCACAGCTTGTGCAAGAAAAGTACTGGTGACTCGAGCTCGCCATGTATGTGTTCACAGGGCAGAACTGACACGAGCCCGGCCCAGAGCCACCACCGCATCCCGTGAGGTAGTAGCCCGCAGAGCAGGTTCTGCAACTGGTGCAGGTGGTGCCACGGTAACCACTCTGAGGCTGATATTGCACCGAGGTACAGGCTGTGCACGACCCAGTCGAGCTACCGCCGCAACCAGTCTGACGATAGCCAGGGTTGCACGCCGTGCCGCTACTGCTACACGAGTTGCATGTGGTGTAGCGATGGCCCGTGCTGGTCATAAAAGTACCACTAGCGCAGTTGGTGCAAGTTCCTGCACTCGTCGTGCTGGGGCCCGCCAAATAGGTCCCGGCACCACATGTGTTCCATGGTGAACAGCTCGTGATCCGGTGTGAGCTGCTACTAATGTAGGTGGCACCGGCACAGGCCGTGCAAAAGCCGGCTCCGATACGAAGGCTGCCGCTGAGCGTCTCTGTGAAATAGTTTCCGGCGTTGCAGGTGGTAGCTGCCAAACAGGATGACGTGCGATGGGATGTTGACAACTGGTAAGTGCCAAATGCGCACGCCTAAGATGTGGTGATGCCACGAACAAGCGAGGATGTGTCAGCGTTTGGGGGGGTTCCAAGGCAACGATGAGCGCGAATGTGAAAGTCAATCGTCCAACGTACCGTGCAACTGGTCCCACTCTGGGAATTGCATGTATACCCCGTGCCTTGGCCGCACGTCGGGCAGGATGTGCAAGAAGTCAAGCGATGGCTCGTTTGCGACTGATAGGTGTTGGCTGCGCACGATGTACAAGAGCCAGCACTGCTGGAACCACACGAGGCCTGATATTGGCCAGCACCACAAACAGTACCGGCGGTCGAACACGACTTGCACGAGCTCTGCCCCGTCGAGGTTTGGAATGTCCCCTAGACAGCGTTCATAACTGTGTCAGCTTCCAGCTGTGTGCGCGACAGCTAGTTTTGATCGAAAACATACCGAAGCGCAGTCTGTGCAGCCTGTTGCCATTGCTGAGCTTGAATAAGTTCCCTAAAACGTGTTGAACCATTCAAGTTACCAAATGGATTGTTCGTCACTCGTCGTGTGCGTGCCAAGTACGGACCACAGGGCAATTTGTGCATGCTGTGTTCGTGTTCAAAGAGCTTGCGTATTTACCAGCCGTGCATGCTAAACAGGGATAGAGATGAGACTGCGTGTGCGGCGGCTGTCCAAATACCTTTTCTCAAATGCGCTGGTTGAAAATCGCTTTACGACGCACCTTGGCAACCATCAATCTCGATGTTTGAAGACAGCTTGTAGTAACCAGCTTGGCATACACACGAGTTGCAGCCTTGGGCATCGCAAGCGCTGGTGCAGAGGTTGCACGTGCCATCACAGTTCTCGTCACAGTGGGAGTCATACGCACATCTGCGCAAGTTTTCATCACAACACCAACCCGGCTTCAGTGAGCATAATGACCCTCAAACTCTTTTGATACAAGCCGAGCGAGATTTTCAAGTTTCCTGACCCATCGCAGTCGCAACCTACGAACCCATGTGCATCAAAAGCAACAAAAATCAAGCCATGAAACCAGGTGCATTCACCAGCGTTGAAATTAAACGCAGATATACAACATACCTCCACCCCACCAGCTGTCCTGTAAGCCGTGCGGGTTTCAAATAAAGTAAAAGGCGGCGCGGATGGAGCAGACGATGAGACAGTTTTGCTGGCAAGAGGTTGCAACGCAGCTCTGATCTCTGGAGGATGACATCACTTACACAATCGCAAGAGTCGTCACAAGTTTGGACATCACAGCCAGTTTTGCAGCCCTAGTTGCAAAAAAAAAAGACAAATAATGAGTCAAAACCTTTGGCATGCTAGTGCACAAGACACAAAGTGGAAGGAAGCCGGTCGCCAAGCCTGAAGCCGGACAAAGACGTACATAATCATCGCAATCATAGCTAGCAGGGCAACCATTGTTGCAGCTCGTCGATGCGCACCCATTGCAATAACCACCCTTGCTGTTTCCAGCGGGAGTGTATGCAGCATCTCGTCGCTGGCGATATGCAATTGAATACTTCTCCGGGTTTTCGATCAGTCCTCGAATGCTTACGGTCTGTTGTTGATTATCCTTGCCGTTGTCAGCATCGCAGGATGCAAGCCTCTGGAGCTCCGTCAAGGTTTGAGCCCGAGGCAGGTATGCAACAGCTGTCACTGCGACATGCTGTGTCCAGAGGGAGCGCAGCGAGTAGGGTTGAAATGATGTGATCATGTCTTGTAATTGGGAGCAGTGACCACCGGCCTCAGATGGATCATAAGCGAGTTGTAGCCAGGGAAGACCGAGGTCTGTCTTGACAACGTCTGACAGAATTGTATGAACAGCTGAGCAGATGTTTGACTGCGACGTCACGCATGCTTGCTGCACAACGTCTTGCCAAGTGAGGCCATCTCGACCAATCGAGTAGGTCACATGAGCTGAGACTTGGTCTTTATCAGTCGTTGCGTAGTGGATCATTGACTTTGGCAGGTACAAAATGTCACCGGGAAGCATTGTGAAAGTGTCACAGACCATATTGTCGATCTGGGCATAGTCAAAGCTAGTGCAACCTACACGTTGTCCGCGGCAGCAGAACATGAAACTTGTTGGACAGGATCATGGTTTTTTTTTTTTTTTTTTTTCATATCCATATATTTTGCAGTGGCGTACCTTCAACGTGTTTAATTTGAATTTCATGCAACTGGGCTAGTTCTGCCGGTGAAGCCGAGGGCCAAGTCTGACTACTGTTGAGAGCTTGACATAGGTGCCATTCTTTTTGGCCAGTGACTTGAACCACAAAAACGTCATAGCTACCATGGCGGAGCACAACGAGGTGAGATACACGGGCGGCAAACGGGTAAGCGGGCAGCACACGCCAGGGGGCAGAGGCACTGACGGATCCGTGTGTGGCTTCAAGGCATGAGCTTGACCGGCGGAAATATACGCGTGGGCCGTGACCTCGGGAGAGCCAAAGACGTCGCTGATGAGCATTTCAATTGGCTCTTTACTTACGCTCATGTGCTCGCGCCGAATGACGGCAGATTGGCCAGAGCGATAGAATTGGTCACTGTAGTCCATCCAGGTGGCGGCCTTGGGGAAGGGGAGCTTGGTGCTGTTGGCGGTCTTGAAGGAAAGAGCACTATCATCGTAGAGCTGCTGATATAGCTCGGTCATGAAGACATCAATGTTTTGAAGGTCACCAAACCAGGAATCCAAGGGCATCAAGCTGTCCAGGTGGCGGGAAATGTGCAGGTAGTTGCGACGATAAAAGTTTTTGAAAAAGGTTGAGGCAGCGTTGGGGCCAACGAGGTCTGCAAGTTGAAACGGGTGAGCATGGTTGGCTGCGGGCATGGCTGAGAGCAAGATGCACAACAGCAAGGTGGCCAGCGTGGCCGGGTGGCCAGCGGCCGGCATGTTCGCGTTGATGGCACCAGAAAGAAAGGCAATGGGCAGCCTCACGGCCACACTACCCAAGCCAGGTCAAATCCAACAGGCTGTGGTGGAAATGCACAATGTGGTTTCCAGAAAGGAGCGAAGAGCAAAAAATGACAGTGCGTGAGTGCCAGCGGTGGAAACAAAAGCGCCGTCCACCACTTTGAATGCAGTCGAGGTGGATGAGAAATAGGTGTGTGTGTGTGTGTATTGTGGAAGGGGTCAAGGTGAGCGCGGGGTGGCGGTTATCCCAGAGCAGCGCTCGCTGGAGGTGCGGCCCGACGAGGAAAAAAAAAACAAAATCGTGGTGGAGAGAAACTGTGCCCCAGCGGCCCGTCGATCCGCAACACACCTCGCAAAGGAAAGGGGCGGAGGTTGCTTTCTTGTGGCCGGCGATCTGGATGCCCGAGCACACCTCACCAGCGAGCAAGAGCGCAAGCGAAGGGCGGTGACGCGGAAGAGATGAGTGATGCTCAACCAACCGCAAGACATGGAATTACACAAACTCGATGACCTGCTGGGAAATGTGCTCGCAACACACCCACACACACACCCACACACACACACGAACTGACACATACCCATACATTCGTTCACACACACAAACACACACACACACACAAACATACACACACACACACACAATGCATGATGTCCTCATTCAAACATGAACCCCATACGTGCCCACTCCATTTCTGCAATGTGAAATGTCAACATCAGTTTCTACATCACCTTTTGCGCCTCTCTCTCTCTCTCTCTCTCTCTCTCTCTCTGTCCCTCTCTCTCTCTCTCTCTCTCTCTGTCTCTCTCTCTCTCTCTCTCTCTCTCTCTCTCTCTCTCTCTCTCTCTCTCTGTCCCTCTCTCTCTCTCTCTCTCTCTCTCTCTCTCTCTCTCTCTTCCCTTCTCTCTTTCTCCACCCCCAATGACAGTTCCACCCACAAATCATAGAGCTCGTTGTCTCACGTCAGAACCAAGCGCTGACGTACAGACGTAAACGAGGTGGTGGTGTGCTGTGGCTTTGGATCTCGCCAACACACCCGTATTGGTCCCTGTTCCCCCGACAGGCAAGACAATGGCCACATCGGTCCCAGTCCCCCGCAGGCTAGACAATGGCATGACGACCATGCCACCCCCCATAAACGTGGCGGCAGAGTCAGAAATTGTCACATTCGACAATAATAACGTCATGGGCATTTGATGAGTGAGGGAGTTGATCCGGAGGGAAAAAAGCCAGTGCACAGCTGCAACTGTAGAGAGCGAGCAATGTGAAATTCATTCATGACACAAAGACAAGCGAGCGAACAGCACTCGCTGATCACAAAAGGTTTTCACAGCATCGCCATCTTGTGTTTTTTTTTTGGCGGGGTGGGGGGGGGGGGGGGGGGGGCAAAAGAGGCAAAGAAACGGCTCAAAACGCCAGAGCACATCTGCTGGCCACACGACATGGTATGCAAAACAAAGAGTGAATCGTCCCTGAGGATGTGGGAGATGCGGACGAGCGTGTTAAATTTATGTCACAAATGCCAACATTGCAACTGGTGTTCACGCCACTCGGGCGCACATGACCTGTATTGAGCCAGATCAATCAGTCCTTGGATGAAACACAAAATCAAAGACACTGTTCGATTGAGAGGTTAAAAAAAAAGTCCGAGACTATTTTCTGGCCACAAAATCGAGCAGGCTTGGAGCTGATGGGTGGATTTAGGCGGTCCACTTGGCAACGCCCGACTGCTGAGTCACCGTGTCGTCAAGGGCAGCGTAGGCCACCTTCTCGTTGACAACCTCAATGCCGAGACCGTAGTAGCCCCAGAAGACGTGCGCATAGGGATCCCAGGTCTAAAAGCGCGTCAAACCAATTCGTTGACATGAGAATAATGTCATCCAAGCAGGCAGACTTTTTGTTTTTTTTTTATGTTCATCAACATCAGGAAGAACACGAGACGAGGGAGCTCACCTTGCCACCATCGCGGGTCTCAACAAAGTAGGCCTTGGGTGCCAGTTCACCGAGCTCGCCGCCGACAGCCCAGCCCAGGTTCTCGTTGGCAAAACGGATCTAAGTGCAGCATCATCATGAGCCGCAAGAAGAGAGGGGAAACGACAAAAAAAGGATGAGGGTGCCAAAGAAGCCGGGTGGCAGGGAGGATGCACGAGATCAGATGGATAAGAATGCGCGTACATCAATCAAAGAGAATCCGCCAATGTTGGAGTCCTGGGAGTAAAAGGTACGGTTCCAGGTCTCGCCGTCGTGGGTGCACCAAATACCGGCGCCGTCAAAGGGAAGATCCATCGACTCGCCAACAGCGCAGCAGTGCGTCTCAGAGGTGCAGTCAATGCCTATGAGAAGAGCAGAGAGGATGATGAATGAGGGAGGTGGCTCCATGCCCGTGCACCATGGGCGTGGTTCCGGCGACGAGGCGAGACAAGGGGGACAAACCATTGAAGTAAAAGGTATCGTTCTGGGCGAATTGCGTCTTCCAAGTCTTGCCACCATCAACAGTCTGTTAAACGCGGTTGATTCGTGGATGAACACTTGATGCAAGCATGGTCATGGACATTTAACCAAGGCAACTGGCCAAGAACAGCGCACGCAAGACCTACCTTGATCAGCTGAGCCTTGTAGCTGCCGGTGGTGTTTTGAAGACGGTGGGCCCCAAGGTCCTTGCGCCAGCGGCCAAATTCATCCTGGAAGACAGACTTGCGACCACGAGCAGCCATCTTGTCCCCAGGGAGGCGGGCGCGAAGGGCAGCAGGCAAGTCATCTTGGTCGTCATCCTGCTCCTGCTGGGGGAACTCACCAGCGGTGATGTCTGGGGAAGCGCACCAGCAAGCCAGATGAGTGTGGGGCGTGGGGAAATGCGGGAAAGCGTAACGGTAAGCTCAATGCAACGTACACCAAGTGTTTTCCGAGGGATAGGCGCCGTAGCGGGCAAAGGTGAAGAGCTCGGGAGCAGGGCGCTGCTCAAAGAGAACGCCACCATCGTGGGTGATGGCAGCACCACCATAGCCAAAGAAAGAGTTGGCACAGCCAAAGCGCTCGCCGTCGTTGTCAGTGGAGATGTAGCGGATGGACTGGGAGTGACCGCCACCGAGCGAGTCGTTGAAAGTGCGGCCATCGTCCTTGGAGTAGAGCTCGTTGAAAACTAATGGACATATCATTAAATGATGAAGAAGAAGAAGATCAAGAGTGAGAATGGGCAAGATCAAAATCTGAGAGGAATGCATGTGTTTGTGTTTGTGTTTGGGCGAAGCAGGTCCAGTAGCCTCCGCCTTGGCCTTGGCTTTGGCCTTGTTTTCGTCTCCATGCAAAATCACAAAAAAATCGTACCAGCGGTCACAATGACAGTGTTCTCCGAGCATTCGCAGTCGAAGAGCAGCAGGTCGTTGTTCAGGTTGCCCTGAGTCGAGTTCCAGGTGTGGCCACCATCAACCGTGTGCAAGATCTCGTTACCAAGACCGTTGACGGCGCCAGCCAGAAAGCCTAAAACAGAGGAGACGACACTAGGGTTCAGCAAGGTACGAGTCCGCCCAAGGACCAGCTGCCAGATTGTCTCCACAACAAGATAAACACGACCAAAGACAAAATGACGACGAAGAAACAGGGCGGTCGGGGGCCATCAACAACACTGCACCAGGCAGTCCGATCTTCAATCCCCGATTCCCGATTCCCTGATCCTGCCCTGATGCGCCTCGCTGATCAGCGCCGATCGCAGCGATCGCAGATCCACTGATATCGGCGGGGCCAGAAAAAACAAAAACAAAAAAGAGAGAGAGGGAACCGCGATCGCGCACCTTCATCCTCGTTCTTGAAGGTGATACCAATGTTAATGGTCAAGCCAGGGTTGGAGATGATCTCCCACTTGCCCTCTTGGCCCAGGGCCAGGGCCGTCAAGGCCAAAACGGCAGCGATCCGCAACAACATCTCTGCAGAAGAAGAAGAAGAAGAAGAAGAGAAAATCCTAAAAAACAAATGAGAGACGAGAGACAGAGAGTCAGAGAGAGACAAGAGAAGAGAGTGGGTGTGACAGAGGTTTGGTCGGTTTGAGAGAGACACAAAGAGAGAGACAGAGAGACAAACAGACAGACACACAGACACACAGACAGACACACAGACAGACACACAGACAGACACACAGAGACAGACAGCCAGAGAGAGAGAGTAAACAGAAGAGAGCTACCCAGAGCGTCAAACAGAGCGGGCGATCACTGACATGACCAGGAGCAAGACCCGTTGCTATCGCACACCATAGAGACTTATTGAAGAAGATAATGAATTTAATGAAGGTTTTCTTGTATTATCATGCCATTATATTAATGGTATTCCATTAGGTTGATGTTGTTAAAAAGGTGGGTTAGTGTAGCACACAAGGTGAGATTTCGACTGATGGGTGTTCAGCACAACTCGTGATTTTCAGTCGCACACAGATACCACTGCTACAACTACACATTAAACTACATAAAGTATGAAACGTGTATAAGGTAATTACATTGTCAATATTTGAGATACGACAATAACTTCATTTATATCTTCAATAGCTTGATGTGGGTCAAGAATAGAGACAATTTTGTTGCTGGAAGGGATGTCAGCATTTTGCGGATGTAAACAAAACACGGCGACAATTGGACGCCCCGCGATTTTGTGAAATTTTGTCGCTGGCGACGGAGCGAGCGAGCGGCGATTGCGGCAGATCGGACACCTGTAAACCGATGTTGCCTGTACAGAAGCACCCTGAGATTTGAAGCACAAAGAATCAACTGCGCTGGCTCCTTTTTGTTGATTTTTTGATCAACTGCCCCCCTCTCGCACGCGCCCTGCCTCAACCATGCGAGAAGCAGCAACAGATCGGGCCACGCCGATCGGCAGCGGTTGGCCCCAACACTGGCATCTATTGGCCCTACTTGTGCTCAATTTGGGCCAAATGGCTCAAACCAAGGCCCCTCCCAACATTGTCTTCTTCTTGGTTGACGACCTGGGCCACTACAACGGTGAGTCCTGCGATCAGCACGGCCGGTCAGCTCTTGGCCATCCCTGACTTTGACCAACCCTAACCACGCGCGCCTGTGGCGTACCACTAGTGGGCTACGAGGGCAACTCCAACGCCACCAGCCCCACTCTTGATCGACTGGCTTGGTGAGGTGATTGCCTCGGCGTTGTGCTCAGCGGGCTGCCGCTCGCTTTTGATGGACAACAAACGGCCAGCATTGCCTGCCTCTCACGTCACAGCTGCCGCCGTGTGCCTCACTAGAGAAGGCATCATTTTGAATCGACATTACGTTTACAAATTCTGCTCCCCTACCCGATCATCTTTTATGAGTGGACGTTTGCCCGTCCACGTCAACATTCAAGTCCGTCTGGCTCTTTTCTTTTTTTTTTCTCGCAAGTGTGTGGCTGCGGCTGTGCCAGCCGACCTCACGCCTGCCTTCACACAGAACAACCCTTCTAGCAAGAACGGCGGCGTAGATCTCCGCATGACCACCATTGCCGAAAAGCTCAAACAAGCAGGGTACGACAATCTGTGTCAACCCAACGTAGATGGTAGCTTTGTCTGCCACTGCCATTCACTCCAGCTTGGCTCAACCCACCCTCTCATGTCCAACATGTGTTGGAAACCGCGTCTCAAGGTATCGAACCCACACCTCTGGAAAGTGGCACGGTAAGTCGAATGAGCACGCCCAATGGGGGCGGGACATGATCCAATAATTGGCTGGCTCGCCTCATCTGGTACTCGGCCATACAACTATGGTAGCCGGCGGCTATGTGCAGGGCATGGTACCCATTCATCGTGGCTTCGACTCGAGCATTGGCTTTTGTACGTTGTTCTTCATATTGGCCTGAATACCAAAGGGACGATTTTGATCTGAGACCAGCTGACAGTGCGTTTGATGCTACGTTGTGTCGTGTAGTGAATGGGAACGAAGATCACTACACGTGAGTTGTCGTCTTGGAATGCAAATGTCCCTCGCTTGCCGTGACTTGGATCACGCCTGTTCGAGTGGTCAGCTCAAATGGGCTCAACAAAATGACTTCGTGACATTCCCCCGCCGGCGTTGCAATCACCGAGTCATGTCTAAAGAAGGGATGGAGACACAGCAGGCGGGTGAGAAGCCGACCAAGGGCATTCAACAGCCCTCCTGTGCCTTGTTCTGCATCGTATTGCCGCACCCGCTTCGACAAACGCGCGTGTTGGTAGTTGATAAGGATAAGTGATCCCACAAAGCTCGCGGCGCATGCAAGCCAAGCGTCGCGCTCGAACAACCCCCCCAAAAAAGTGAAAAAGGCTGGCTACACTTCCACCGTGACCGCCACCGTGACCATCACACTTTCACGCGACCATGCGCGCGACCAAACCCTGATCGTCTATTTTTGGCGGACAGGGCTTCGCTTAAGTAGCAAGCAACGTCTTCATTCTGTGCATTTCCATTTGGAACCATCGCAGTAAAGCAAGCCATTCCTGTTGTGTTGCTCTCTCTCTCTCTCTCTCTCTCTCTCTCTCTCTCTCTCTCTCTCTCTCTCTCTCTCTCTCTCTCTCTCTCTCTCTCTCTCTCTCTCTCTCTCTCTCTCTCTCTCTCTCTCTCTCTCTCTCTCTCTCTCTCTCTCTCTCTCTCTGTGGCTTGCTTGTGGGATTGGGTTTGGCGGGAAAACGTGCTTTTGTCGACAACTCACCACTGCCACTGCCACTGACATTTGCCACTGCCACTGCCACTTGGTTTTGGTTTTGGTTTCGTTGTAATTTTCTTGCTCGGGTCTGCACCTTGAAGGTCACTGTCAGCTTCTTGTTGTGTGCTTTTGCTCCAACCTTCGCCGTCATGGATCCGTCGGACCTGTTGTCACAACGCCGCAAAGTCGAACAGCTCGAGGAGCTATCCAGTCAATGTACGGAGTGATCGCCAAACACCATGCAATACGCCTGACGCTTTTGCAGAAATGCATTGCTTACCCGTTCCATGACTCCTCCGCCCCTCAACCCCAAATAATGTGTTTTTTGTTATGGCAGTGAAGGACTTGCAAGAACTCGTTGTCCAGCGGCAAGCTCAAGAGGACAAACATTTTAAACGCCTGGAGACGCGCCTGAGTTTGGTGGAGCAAAGGCTCGAGAAATCGGAAGGGCCTGCCATGCGGAGCGAAGATCGGTCTGCAAGTGAGCTGCAAGATTTGTCGGCAGAGCTGGTCCAGCTGGAGGAAGACGTCGGCCGGTGTCCTGAAGGACAAAGTCATGAGGCTCTCAAGGCTGAGACCGAGAGCATCAAGCAAAGCATTGAGGAGCTGCGAGCTGCCAAGGAGCAAAAGGACAAGGAGAATGCACTCAAGGCCGAGGAGCTGCGAGCTGCCATGAAGCAGAAGGACGAGGAGCTGCGAGCTGCCATGAAGCAGAAGGACGAGGAGATGCAAAGAAGCTTTGATCAATTTGCGCTCGCGGCCCACAATCATATGTTGGCCAGTTGCCTCAGCGACTGGCTGCTTTCAAGGTTGCATGCCGACCAAATTCCGTGGACTGGCCATCCGCCGCGGGTCATCGACCTCAGCAATTTTCTCAACATTGCGTTGGGCTACGGCGACGTACCGCGCCCATCATTTGAGTATATAGAGTGGTGTTTCACGCAGGCTCCCCTTGAAGCTCAATGGCAGATGCTCCAAGCCTACAGGGAATGTTGCAACAAGCTGAGAGCAAAGCACGTGTCGCCTGATCAATTTTTTGCTGCCGTGGAGCAACAACTTAGAATGTGAGCGTTGCGCCCGGCTCGCTTTGTGCGGTGCGCCTTGTCTCGTTTCTTTCTCTCCGGCAAACCCAGCCTTGCTTCAATCGATACTGCTCCTCCATGTCATTTTGGTAATGAGGTCTTTACATGGGAAAGATCACGGCGATCGGCAGTGTGTTGCCGCACGACTGACTGCTGTGCAACCACGGCCTCTGGTCTTACTGATTGTCCCCGTGTAACTCTCTGCCCCTGTGTCTCTCTGTCCTTGCACCTCTGTCTCTCTGCGTGTGCCTCAAGTGCCGGCCTCTGCCTTTTTCTTCAACTCTCGCTCCGAAGAGAGAGAGAAGAAGAAGAGGTCGTGTGGTCCCTAAGCACGTGTGATGTTAGGTCAGGATCTGACAAGAAGCGATCCAACTCTAATACATGCCAACGTCACTGCCACACCTGCACAACGCGTGAGACACTATGATGACTAATATAGGATCACACCTGATGACCCGAAACGCCACACTTGGCAACAGTCCTCTTTTCCTTTGAGTTTTGTCCTTGGTTGAACCTCTCTCTCAGTTGCCGTGAGTTTGACATTTAGGATGTCGTTCTCTCTGAACTTTCTCTCAAAAGCCTCTGTGTCTCTAAAATCCCTTTGCTCACACATGGCTTTGAAATTTTCTGCATCCATGTTTCTCCGTCTCTCTGCCCAGCCTCTGGCGCTGCCTTCTGTCTCTTTTGGTCTCTTCAGCCTCCCAGCGTGGACAACCGTTTCCAACAAACAAAGTCTCTCTCTCTCTCTCTCTATCGCGTGTGTTGCAGTCCGCGATCGCCGACGGCACACACACACACACACACACACACACACACACACACACACACACACACACACACACACACACACACACACACACACGAGCAACGGTGCAGTTTGCGATCATCGACGAGCTGCTCCTCTTGTCTCCCTCCTCTCCCTATCCCCTCCTAACCCTCCTAATACTCCTCTCTCTTTCCCCTTCTCCTTCTCCACCGCCTTCCCTCGCCCCCACCTCTCTCCCTCTCCTTGCGCTTTTTTTTTTATCAAGAGTGCAGTGACATTTCTCTTCTCTCTGACCTTGGAACCATCGCCCCCGCCACTCCCCCGCGCCGTCCGTCAAACGAAACCAGCGCGCAGAGGCAGAGATCAACGGGTCCATGATGATGCATGCGGCACTCATCCCCTGGTTGATCGGGGCCCTGTGCCTGGCCGTTCACGTGTACTCGCAGCAAGTGCCCAGCTTGACGGTGGACGAGGATGGCACGCTGCACATCAACTCGACCAAGCGCGTCATTGTCAATGGAATCGACGTGGCCGAGGCCGGCACCACACTCCTTGATTTCCTCGAGAACAACCCCAAAAAGTCGTCTCGACATGAGCCATGTACGCATATTCGGTCGTGGGTGCCGACCTGGACCGGGATGGCCATGTGGACATTGTGAGCGCGAGTCGGAACGATGACAAGCTGGCTTGGTACAAAAACCTTGGCAATGGTCAGTTTTCCGACGCGATCAACATTTCCCTCGAGGTTGATGGCGCCGTGTCGGTTCATACGGCCGATTTGGATGACGACGGAGACCTGGATGTCCTTGCGTTTGGAAGCTCCAATAACTCCATCGTTTGGTTTGAAAATGACGGTCAAGGCGGTTTCATGATCAGCCACGTTATCGACAGCAATGCCCCGGGTGCAACCGATGTCATCGCCGCCGATCTTGACGACGATGGCGCCCTCGACGTTGTTGCTGCCGTGAGTTTGGAGAACAAAGTGGCTTGGTACCGCAATCTGGGTGGGTCCTTTTCAACGCAGCAAGTCATTTCCACCAACGTCCAGGATGCCCGTGCAGTGTATGCTGCGGATTTGAGCGGCGATGGGCGCTTAGACGTCCTCGGCGTGAGCGACAACAGCGACTATGTCTGCTGGTTTCGTAACATTGACGGATCCACTTTTGCTGCACGTGAGCTCATTGCCACCAACATCATAGACCCGCGTGACGTGTACGCCGCTGATCTCGATGAAGATGGTGATGTGGATGTGTTGTCTGCCAGTCTGGCAGATGGCACCATCGCCTGGTACCGCAATGATGGTGATGGCAACTTCACCAAACGCATCATCACAACGTCGGCTTCTGGGGCGCATGCCGTGCGCGCGGCCGACGTCGACGCGGATGGCCATCTCGATGTCCTAAGTGCCAGTGCATATGCCAATGCCATTGCCTGGTATCGCGGCAATGGTCGGGGCGACTTTTCAGAGCCCATTCCCATCACCACGAACGCTCAACGCGCCTACAGCGTCGAGACGGCCGACCTCGACGGCGATGGAGCCCTCGACGTCCTTAGCGCCAGTGCCTACGATCACAAGATTGCCTGGTACCGCAACGATCAATGGGCCTGGCGAGCTCGCTTTTACTAGCAGTCCAGCTGACCCCGCCTTGACCTTGCTGCGCTTTTTCCCATTTCCCCTTCTCAAGAGTGAAAAAAAAAAAAATTGATGGCTCGAGTTGCACGCCAATCTGCCGTAATTTTGTTTTCTTGGTCATTTGCAGTCACATGTCAACGCCCTCCCTCTTCCCGTGCATAAGAAAAGAAAAGGTATCCATGGACGTATCATGCTAAAGAAGCAGAGAAACAAGACACATGGGTGTCGCCATCAAGTTGTCAATTCAGTGCATTACGACCGTCGCACGCTGGGCAGACCGCGTGATGCTAGAAACCAAAAAGACGCCTTGCTGGAGAGCGTTTGCTTTCGGATACAGGCATTACAAGAACACGGGCGGGTTTCATCGAATTTAATCGAAGAGGGAGAAACCATCCATGTCCTCATCCTCAGACTCCTCGGGTTCGGGGGCCTTCTCCTCGGCCTTGGCCTCACCAGCACCACCGGCAGCGGCAGCAGCGGGGGCGGCGGCGCCACCAGAGGGGACGGAAGCAAGCTTCTCCTGGCCCTCGGCGATCAGCTCCTCGAGCTCCTTGTCAGCCAGCTGGGAGATGACCTAGAGAGGGTTGAAGCAAACATGACATGATATTCAGAATGAGCACTGGGCTTGTCCAAACAAGAGTACCAAGCCAATGTATGATGCACGAGTGGATCAACCATGGTTGAGGAGGAGAAGAAGGTGTCACATCAACGCCAGAACGCAACCGTGAAGCAAACAAACACGGGAGCAACCACATCATGCCGTATCCTTGTGGGACCAAACATAACGCGCGAGGATGCATTTTAATCTGGGCCTCTGAAAGACCGCCCAAGTCAACAGCGACCAGACTGCTCCGAAGAGCAATCTGGCTGATGCTTCCTTGACGGTGAGTAAGAGGCCGTGTCGGCTCAAAGGTGTTTGACCGTTGTGTGGTGTGGTTGTGTGGTGGGAAACAATATTGCATTCTTGTGTGGATGAGTAGGTGTTGGTATGCTTCGACTTACAGTGTTGAGCTGCTCATCATCGACGCTGACACCGACAGACTCGAAGATCTTCTTGAGATCGGCCGCAGAGGGCTTGGCGTTGCCACCGAGGGCAGCCAGAAGGTAAGCCGCGACGTACCGCATGCTGAGAGAAAAAAAAAGATGATGAAAATGGGAAGTGAGTAAGCGGTCAACATCCGGGTGGCCGACAACGAAGACAGCAAAGTAGGAGCAAGGTGTATATGGAATGGTACGCTGGTTGCATAACTCGGTCAAGTAATCCCCGAGCTGATGCCAAATTGGCAAGGTGCTACGGGATGAACCGCAAAAGCACCACGTGTGCGTGATGATCGAGCTGCGACAAGATGTGCGTGTTGCTCGAACTGGAGGTCACCCAACTCTGGAGACAAGAGGAGAAGAGGAAGAAGAGGAGCTAGCTACCGTGCGCGGTGGCAACGGCAGATTGGAGCGTATGCACTCGCCACAAGAGCGAGCCAGCATCGCCAGCCAAGATCCGTGTCACTGCCTCTTTTCACTCTCTGCTCCTCGTCGCTCCATGTGCACACGCCACACGCTCATCTTGTCCAGCTCAGCCAACCGGCAACCAGCGCACCACACCAACACCAACGCCAACACCATCACCACTACCACTACCAGGAAGCAGGGGAAGCGGGCTGCCGTTTTCACGGGGGACGTACTTTAAGGTTGATAAGACCGGCGAAGTACGTTTCAACGCGACAAAGCAGGGAAAGAGTAAAGTGACCACCGCACCATATGGTGGGTCTGTTTATACGGCCTGGTGCTGCGCCGACCCCCTATGGCTGTAAGCTTGTAAGGTTAAGGAAGCGCGGGCAGACAAAAGAATCTCGTGTGGCGAAACGCGTTGGAAGCTGGATCAGGGTTCAAATCTCGAATGTCAGACTGTTCAACTTTTTTTCTCCCCCAAGAAAAAAAAGAAAACTGAGCCACTGGCCTTACACTTGGTAGCAAAGAGAGACAGAGAGAGAGAGACAGAGAGAGAGAGAGAGATACACAAGACACTCACGCACACTCAGTGGCGGCGGTGCCATTCAGATATGGGGGCAGGGATGGTCGGCGGCTTCTTTTGATCAGTCAATTTGGAAGATATGCGTGGGAAGGGGTGAAGTGTCCTTTTCGCTGGCTTGACTGCCGTGTCGACGCAGCCACCAGCAATTGAAAAGACGGAAAATCGGCCAGCCAGGACAGGCGTGTGCCAGAGTTTGGACCACCACCAGAGTTTGGCAGGTTGCATCGAGCTCCTCCAGCGCGGCGGCAGGATGAGCAGGATTCTCTCTAAGATTATACAAGGACAAACAAAACAAAAACAAAAAAAGACACGGGGGCCAGGAGCAAGTCGGCGGGCAGAGGTGTGCTGGGCTGTCCGGGCAGGATTCCGAATCAACAGAGTAGAGGCTTAGGGCCATTTCCATTGTCCTGGCGCGGGCTCCTCGTCCAGTTGTTGCCAGGGCTCGTGCTGCAGCATCAACTCGGCCAGCTTCAGCTCATCCTCAGCCTGCAACAATAGCAGCACATGTGTCCGTGAGTCAAGCTCGACCCCTCGGCTCGCAGCATGCTAAGACTCGAGACCTTGGTGCGCAGAAAGAGTGGCTAGAGCTCACCTGCACAATAATCTGCTCAACCTGGAGACCAGGAAAGTTGGCCTCAAAAGCATCAACATCCTCGCTCTGCACAAAATGACGCCGTGAGCAACAGGCCTGACAGCGCTCCAACAGTTGACCAGAACAATCTAGAGGGTCCGACCGGCAAGGCACGCCTGGCTGACCTTTTCCAAAATGGCCTGACGCTCCTTGGTGATGGCCTCTACCTTGGAACGGTACGCGGCGCTCTGTGGCATGCGGCCCACTACCTGCAGCGTAGCGCCGTACAGACCCGACAGCACCTGCCCCGCGCCAAACCCCCAAAGGTCAGCACACACACACACACTTGCGCATAAACCAACAAAAAGCTAACGCGCAGGTGGATTTCGTACCTCCTGAGGGTTGGCGACCTTGTGCAGGCCTGTAATGCCGGTCGTCTGCGCATCAGCCAAGAGTCGAGCGCCGCTATATGAGTCGCCCGCCAGGGAAAAAAGAAAAACCGACCCCTCCATGCTCCGTTTGGCCCCGTTTTAGCCACACGAGCAAGATGCCAACGCCATGACACCACAAAAACATCGCAACCGCGCCGTCTGCACGACTGCCTTGCACCCCCGGCTCGCTTCTTCGGCGCTTACCTTGCGCAGGGCGTGGCGGAGGTACGAAGCCATGTCGACGGTCACACAGACTGAAAATGCGAGAGAGAGAGAGAGAGAGAGAGAGATGAAGCCAGGTAAACCTGTAAACAACAGTTGTTTTGCATGGATTGCCGCTTGGTCAAAAGGATAACGAAAGACAAAAAAGACAAAAAAAGAAAAAAAGTTGGATCAGATGGAAATTTGTCTGCTGCACAACACAAAGTGCCCGGCGATGAACCGCACAACGGTAGCCGACACGCACGCACGCACACACACACACACACACACACACACACACACACACACACACACACACACACACACACACACACACACACACACACACACAAAGGGTTCCTATCAAGTCAACGAAATCAAAAAAGAGAGAGAATGGCAGGTAAGCTGCCGTAGCTGCTGTAGTCAATGGCTCACTAAGGACTAAATGTTGGACGCTCGAAGTTCGTCTTGCGTGACATCCAACAGATACTTTAGCGCTTCGTAAATAAACTGATATTGGGATGCTGTTTGCACCATAATACGTCGATGCTTGCGAAGCTGGAGCACCACGGCATCCACGTCCATCGAATGGCCATCCTGTGATTCATCCCCATCGCGCATGAGCCAGATCGGAGGACCACACTCCACCCAATTGGTCAAAACATCTTACCGCAATGGCATCTGCAAGCATGTCAAAAGCGATAAAGGTGCCCGAACGACCGACGCCGGCACTGCAGTGCACAACCACGCGGCCCGATGGCTCCTCAAAGTCACGCTACAAAAATAAACACAAGGGAAGTGTTATCCATTCAAAGAAAGATGATCAACCAAGGGCACGCTCAAGGGGAAGAAAAAAAGACGGGCTCAGCCCTCAGCTAAAGAACCGAGATTAGCCCTTGGCCAAACGTACTCGCACGGCCTGCATGCAGCGCAGAAAGGATTCAACTTCTGGCGTCCCGTGATCAGGCCAGGATTTCATCCAAATATGCTCCGTCACCAATGGCTCGTACTTGACCCCACGCACATTGCTGCGCGGGACCACCATCAGCCGCCGCCGCTCGTAAACCTGAGCATCGACCAAGCTTTGGCACGTCACCTATAACCCACACCCAGTCGGTGCCGCAAAATGAGCTGGAGGGCTTCACGCAAGGAAAACCCAGGCGTGCTGTCTTCTTCATCTCCACTTTGATATAGATATTATGCATTTCACCAGCCAAAGAAAATCAAACGATTCAACAAAATAAATAAGCATTTTGATCTTGACAGAGTGCACACCAACCGTAAAGTTCTCAAACGTCTTGGACGCGCCCGGATCTTGCGGAAAGTATGGACTGCATTTGCGCGGGTTGATGCTGCAAAGCATAATCACGAGGGGCGAATGCTCCCCGTAGACCATGCGCCAAAAGTCATCCTCTGTGTGGGGCAAAGGCCTGCGCACGACCACAGACACGGCGCAAGAGTGAGACCAGAAGGGACAGCCCCGCCTGCGCCTCAAAACCCAATGGTCAATAAGCATCACACGCACAAACATACCCTTGTGCTGCAATGTAGGGACGGTGCCCGATGTTAGGCATGTAGTTGGCGTTGATGTAGTCCCCTTCTGCTGCACCAATCTGCTTCAGCGGCACACGGCTGGCATCATAGGGCAGAATGTCGCTGTATCGGTTCTTGGCTGGGTTGGCCCGAGCCGCTTTGACGGTCTGCCGAGCATAGCCAAGATCCTCGTCCTCCTGACGCAGACGCATGTACACCTCCTCCAACCGTGACGCATGGGCCAAGTGCATGACCTCGGCTGTCACATGCTGATAGTCTGCTTCAAAACTCGCCTGCATACCCGAAACAAGACAAGCGCCCCGCATACAATGCGTGTCAGACTCGACCCAGATGACTGTTTCAAAGCTAGACAAGTCAGGTGAGGCGCCAAAAGCCAACAAAGCACCCCAGACGGATTCAAAACGCACCACGTCCTCCACTTTGAGACCGAAAATGGGCGAGGGCTCTTGCCGAATCACCTGTAGGTTACAAAGTGCGTCAACACATGTCATGACACCCGCCATGTGACCCGCCATGAGATTCGCGACTCAAAATCACGCCAACTGGGGGGAGATGAGCACTCATACAAGACGTACCGTCGTCTTGAGACTGCGGGTGATGCCATTGACGGAGGCGTGGTCCGGAGTGGGGGAAAAGAGCGGAACGCGCTCTTCAGTCGAACCACGGCGCCCAAGGGCCCCTTGATTCCAATACTGGCGCGTGAGTACAATGGTCACGAACACCAAGGCCACGAGAGCGCCACAAATAATCAAAGCGTCAGTGCTCTTGAGCCGGCCAAAGTCTGCATGGGTGTGTGGGCGATACACCATGTGCAGCGTGTAAACCACCACCGATGCATTCGAGCTGCTAGGCAGATGTAGAAGGTCAGGCGTTCCCACGGTGGGGTACAGATACACGGTCAAGTTGTGCAGGCTTGGGTCGGAGGTCGGCAACGAAACGTTCAAGTGACCACTCGCGGTCTTGTTGTAGTCGGACAAAACCTCATTCTAGCAGGCGCAGACGCGAACCGATTCAAGTGAGCTGTTTGCGGTCAGGCCATTCTCTTTTGCCACCAAGCAGAAGCATGAGACGTACAGTGCTGGCATTGACAACCCAAAGTGAGATGCTTGGTGTGACAATGTCCGAGGCGTGAGCGATAATGTTGACATCCTCGCGGAACTCAACGGTATACTCGGTGATGTTGGCCAAGAAAGCCGGTGTGAAAGAGACGACGTTTGCCAGCTCAAGGCCGTCCAGCACGGGAAAGTCTGTGAGTGGAGAATGTTGGAAAAGTGCAAATGATGAGCGTGAGCGTGAGGGTCCAGCCAGCCATGGTGCGGCCAGGTAGGATCTGGGTGAGGGAAAAAAAAGGACGTTTTTGAAAAAAAAAAAAATAAATAAAGGAATTGGCACGTTGGTTGCTCCTCACCAGGAAAGAAGGAAACGTTGTAGGATGAGGTGTTGACAAGGTCGTCGTCCGCGCGCACGTAGATGGTCAAGGAAGAGTTGACGCCCGGCGACAACTTGAGTTCTTTAGGACCGCTGGCGTGAAGGTGCTTGGGTGTGCTTGCTAGGATCTGCACGTCCGTGCTAGACACGGGCAGGGGCCCGTAGGTGCGAGTTTCTGGGGCAAAGCCAAAGTCGCTGATGGAGGGGATGGTTGTGATATTGCTTAGTTGAGGCGTGACTGCGATGGCACGGGGCGTTGGAGAGTTGTGAGGCAAGGGTGAGTGGTTCTGACGTTGGTGTGCATCCAGTCTTGCAAATGTAGCCCGACGTACCGTAGGTCAAGTTGACTTTGATGCTCTCAAAGACCTGGTCTTTGCTGTCCACCGTGCTGTTGATGAAGTACTGTGGCCGTGGTTATGAAGACGTGTGAGCAAGGGTAGAACGACATCGCGCGAGTCAAGAGTGGACGCAGACCCAAGCTCCAGTTAAGAAGCACTGACTGGCAAGACGTACGACAAAGGGTCTCATGGTTGAGACGCTCGGGGGAGAAAACTTGCAACGATCAGCACAAGCGCTGTGGGGCACGAGTTGGATCTTGCGCTGGCTGACTACACCACTGTAGGCAAGATTGGCAGATGTTGTAGAAACTCGGTTGAGGCGAGCTGTTGGGCTGGACAGCGTGGTCGTGAGGTTGACTAGAGCAGCGAGTGAGACCTGTGTGAGACAAGAAAGGTTGCACGCGTGCTGGGTGGAGGGACAGACCCCCCGAGTGATGGGAAGAGGGGTACGAGGACTGGCGGCGACGTACTGCGTTCAAAGGTGACGGTATAGTTGTGCATGCTCACGGGTTGATCCTCGGTGTATTGGACACTAAGTTGCTGGGGCGGGTTGCTGCTCCCGATGTGAGGCAGAACCCAGTGACAGGTGGTTTCAACGTTTGTGCTGGTGCAATTGTCGGAGCCCACCACGGTGGTGGGTACTAGCGAGTTGGTGATGGTGAGGGTGACGTAATCGGCTGCTGTGGTGATGTTGGGTTGAGTTTCGTTTGCGCGGTTGAACTTGAGGGCAGGGGCGGTTTGCAGAGTTACTGGCAGTGCCAAGGAGACTAGATAGAGAGGTCAAGACAGGAGTTTGAAAGCAAGAGTAACACGTGTCCCGTTAGCCAAATGCCTGAGCAGCTGCTGCTGAGCACGGGGTGCAGCGATTGCCCATGAGATTTTCATGGGTTGAGCCAAGCAAGAGTGGGCTGGAGGGCATACCCATGTGAATGGGGATGTTGAGAGTGGCAGAGACATTGATGTCACAGCTGCTGGCGAGGTTCAAGGTGACTGATGTTGCGGGGAGGGGAAAGGAACACAGATATAGCTCATCATGATTGGGGTCAACTTGACACGCTGTGGGGTACACCGTGCAGGATTGGCGCGCGAGGGAAATGTTAAGCTGATGGGCAGCCGTGGACACGATGCCTTCCTTGAGCTGGCCGGGGGCAGTGCCGGTAATGTTGATACCGAAGCGCTCTACGGGATAGAACATCCAGTGGTGGCATGTCGTGCAGTTGGGCAGGAAATCACAGCAGCGAGTGAGGAACAACGCAAGCTGTCAAGCATGGGGCAAAGGGGCTGGCCCACGCCTCGGAGAGCGGGCTGAGTTGTCAAGAAAGTCAAGCTCACGAACCGCGAGTGATGTTGAACAAGATGGGGGCATCGTGAACATCGTCGCGGCCACGCAGTTGGGTGATGACGGTGTTATTGCCAAGGGATAGGTCGTGGACAGTGCATTGGGTGTCAATGCAGGTGGGCTCCGTGTAGGTGAAGGCGGGAGAGGAACCAAAAGAAAAGGTAAGGTTTGACTGCGTGGTGCGAAGGGGCGTGGCCAGCACGGCGGGAGCGATGGTCGAAAGGGTCGGGGTTGCTACGAGCGGACATGTGGCACTTGGGTGAGCGGAAACAGTTGGAAGGCCCGGGGCACCGGCGAGGACTCACGCACCAAGAGTAAAGATGACTTGACCGGCCGAGGCGGTTGTGTTGTAGGTCATGGGGAAGGAGGTGTTGTGAAGGCTGGAGGTTGCCGAGGAGGCATTGAGGAGAAGGGTGATGGGCGCCGATGTTTGGGGCACGATGTGAGCACCGATGGCGCAAACGGCGGGCGAGGGCAGACTGCAGCGGGCCACGATGGTGTGGATGGGTAGGAGGGTGGTGGCGGCAAAGTTGAAGGAGCGATCTGGTCCCTGCCAGGTGGAGGCATTGTCGGCGGTGATGGCAAGACCGTGTGTGACGACGAGGGCAAAGTTGAGGGCGTGTCCGATCTGCTGTGCGGTGCACTCGAGCGTCTCGGAGAAGTTGGCGGGAAGGGTGCAGGTACGGTTATGGGTGCAGGAGAAAGAGCTGGAGCTGCAGTTGACAAAAGCATCAAAGGACAGGCGGATCGGGGCTGGAGTCGGGGTGTATTGGGTTGCAAAGGTGACTTGCGGCGGATAAGCCAGGGTCCAGGTGCTCCCATTGATGACGGGAGCTAGGGAAGAGCCGAGGACAATGGCGTTGTCCACTTGCTGGAGCCGAAGGCCGTGAACGGGGGCTGAGGACAAAAGGCAACAGAGAGCGGCCAGACCAAAGATCCCAAGGCGGCCGGGTAGGCCCAGGGCCAGGCCTGCGGGGGCCCGACGTTGCACCATGGCGTTGTACGGCGTTGGTGCAGAAGGGGAGCCGGCTGGGGTTGAGCCGGTTTCCAGCCAAGGCGTTGAGGGCGGTTACCCAAGGACGAAAGAGGGGAGAGGAGCAGCTAAAAGGAAAAGGAGGGGATGAGGGCGTTGATGTATGAGCCCGATCGATCCGATCCACGTGCGGCCCCGCTCGACCTGCTGCCAGGACCAGTTTGAGCCGGCGAGCAAACGAGCAGAGTGAGTCCGAGCCGGGCAATGGAGCAAAAATGGCGAGCTCACACTCTCTCTGTTCTGCCCAGGGCCAGCTATGCAGGATGTGCATTCAAAGCAGACCCATTGGCACTGGATCAAATGCTATCCGAGCTCGCACACGGCGACGCGTCGCGCGCAGTGAACTTTTTTTTTTTTTTTTTGGAGAGAGAGAGAGCTCGCTGCCACTTTTTTCCAAGGCAGAGAGAGGACGAGAGAGGAGGATCAAAGGCAGAGATGGGACAAGGCGGCGGGTGTGGATTCAGAGAAACGAGGTCAAAGCACGAGATGGATAACGTTAATCACAAGCTGTATCAGAGAGAAAGAAGCGCTCAGAGACTTGAGCCAGAGATGAGCACACAGAGCAGAGAGAGAGACAGAGAGAGACGAGGAGCGGAAAGCGGGAAAGAGAGACGTTACGTACCCGCACTCGTTGAATGACAAATGCAACAACGAGAGACTTGTTGAAGCGATTTATGGACTTGTTGAAGAGAGTCTTATTTTTTATTAACAAACACCAACAAAATACATGGTACTTTGTGTAGGTGTTTATACACTTTTAGTGTTATAAGCAACCACTATGTTAAGGATTATTTATTATCACTATCTTCGTCTACACAAATGACCGGCTTGTTTACAACAGTAGTTGAAGCCGGTCGTGTTTATTGAATTGTGGTCCTCAAGCTTTTCCCCGCAAACTCATTCAAAATTTTGCGTTCCCGTGTGTGTGTTCGGCGACCTAAGGCAATTCAAGAGGCCGAACAAGATCCCATGACCATGGCCCCTCTGGCCCCGCTGCCAAATCGTCATTAGATGTTCACATCATCATCATCATCACCATCATCATTATTATTCGTGTCCATATCCCAACACCCCGACCAGCGCTTCAACGGCAACACCGCCATTCGTAAACCACTTGAACGAGTTGTTGTCACCCTCTATGTGAAGCCTTGATCGTTGCTCCTTAGGCAATCTCTCTAAATCTCTCTCTCTCTCTCTCTCCTAAATCTCTCTCTCTCTCTCTCTCTCTCTCTCTCTCTCTCTCTCTCTCTCTCTCTCTCTCTCTCTCTCTCTCTCTCTCTCTCTCTCTCTCTCTCTCTCTCTCTCTCTCG